TTCTCTGCTATCCTCCAAAACTTCAACTCCGATATTCCAATCTAGGAAAGCCAAAGGCTCTGGTTCCAAACTTCTGGAGGACATCAGATAGGAAAAGTCTGGATTAAGGCAAAGTATTGTGTTATCCATAATTTAATGTTTACTCACTCCCTATATTATATTCTAAAAAGGCTACAAAATATGGACTGTTTCTGCTAATTCTGGAACCAGAGATTCTCAGATTCATAATAAAAAGTCTCTTGAGTAATTAAGGTTAAAACCACTATTGTGGTAGTTATATGCAGGGTGGCAAGTAGGAATTCCATTGCTTGCCAATAATCAAGAAGCAATGAAGAGGCATTAGGAACAATTTTGACTGCAATTTGAGATGTATTCTTTGAGAGTTAACCCAAACTTTCAAGCTTCCAGTGAACCATCATGGCAAACTGATGTTAGAGAAACATGTGACTAAAAATGGCATCCAAATGCTTTTGTGCTGCCAACATGTCTCCAAAGTAAAGGGAGATTGCCATATTACTGCCATGTACCCCACACAGCTGTTTTTGTGAGCAGACAGCAGGAAATGCATTTTTTTTGGTGATCAACTCATTATGAGTTGTAAGTCATGGGATTTCTTTGTGCTTAGAGCCACTAATATTGTCTATATGGACCATATATTTGACTGAGGTTCATCTCTTAATCGCTTTGTATTTAATTTTTCTCCCATTTGGCCATTTTTTTTTAAAGATTGAGAACTTTCAGTCTGGCAAATTTTATTGAAATTACAAATGAGCTTCCCTCAATTCTTTTTTAAAAAGTTTAACCTCAAGTTTAAGATTTGTAACATTTTTAATATACAGCAACATAATAATGACTGCTGGATTTAGAAAAATTTAAATGGATCAAGAGATGAAGTTGACTTGATTTAAGACTGAATCTAATTGAAAGGATCCTCTCTCATGGGAAAATGCTGTTGTTTATACTTTGAAACTGAAAAGATGACTTTGAAAGTTCAACACTAGAGGGCACCTAATGGCTACCTTAAAATAAATGTTTGATGAAGGGGTGAAGGAGGTCTTTGAGTTATTTACCTTTATAATACAGGGTTCTCCAACCCCTGGGCCATGGACTGGTACTGGTCTGGGGTCTATTGGGAACGTGCAGCACAAGCGGTGGGCAAGTGCACAAAGTTTCATTTGCACCTGTGCAGGATTAGGTTACACACACAAAACCATCCCCTCCCCCCCCACTGCCATTGCTGCTGCTCCGTGGAGCCAGAAAGGTTGGAGATTGCTGCTATAATAAAATCAGAAGGTGTTATTGAATAAATCCCATTGAATAAAACTGAAATTGACCTACCGATGATTTAAAAAATTATAGCCTATAAGAAAGAGATGGAAATAATAGATTTACAAACTGAAATTGAATGAAGATTTTTAAAATATTAAAAGATGTATAAATAATGAATCAGAAGAGGGATGTGGATAATTTTCTTATATTGGATATATAAAAGATGTTTGTTGGAGTTGTCACTCTAGAATTGCAAAAGTGGCCTGACAAAAATGACAAGAATTTTGCGAGAAAAGAGAAAAAAGAGTATGAGAAAGCAGATGTTAGAACTTTCTTCGATGAATTCAAAGATCCTTGGGAGAAAGAAGAATGAATACAAATCAATTTATTAGATCAAGGTTAAAATAATGAATTGCTCTTTCTGGTGGGGTTAAATGGTTTTCTGATTGGGATAGGATGATGATAGTTATTTCTGGTAACATTTAATTGTTTTTTGACTGGGACTAGACTCTGAATAGAGGAAATGGGGGGATCTTTTAAATATAACTAAATGTAAATACAAAAAGGTTCAAACTGGGTGTAATAGATAAAGGTTGTAAGACTTATTTCTGATAATGCTTACTGAGTTTTGCTGATTAAGATGGACGTTTTAGAGACAGTCTTATAGAGAATAGGGTGAGGTGTGGAATGGAAGAGGTGTTTGTTTATATTAGTGATAAGTTGTTGAGTATGCTTGCTGTGGATAAAGGGAGAGGTTTTTTTTCTTTTATTGTTTTTGTTCCTTTTATTTCCCCTTTTCAGCACTTTTTAAATTTTTAAAATGTCTTTCTGCACTATGTAGTTGTATTAGTTTTATATGTATAATACAGCCTTCAATGAAATTATTGAGAAAAAGAGAGCTAGTCCAAAATTTCATTAGTTGTAAGAAACTAGATGCCTTTTTGCTCATCATCCCGTTGGATTTCTTTGCTAATAGCATACATATATTTAGAGCACTTGATTTATAATATTTAAATCCTTGAATTGAGATTTCTGAAAGCTTCTAAGATGCATATTTGAACTGTCCAAGAGCTGACTCACCAAACATATGGCCTTGCCCATCACAATGTCTCTAGCATTTCTGGGGAATACATTTACATGGACATACTAATTTCTTAAAATAACTTCTTTCCAGAAGCTCAGTGTGGAATATGTAGGTAGATAATTATGCTCAATGTTTTACTCACAAGAAACCTATATCATATATTAGCCAAAGCAACTATTTCCAGTATAGACACACAATGAGCTTCAGAGCTGATCAAATTACCTAAACTGTTTAAGACTCTAAGCCAGCCGATCTGGGACAATTTTACATATGGTAAAGACCTATGTAATTAAATTATTAGTTTTCACTTTTGGAAAACTTAAAAGGAGATTATTATTTATTTTTTTTTAGTTTACTGTCACAAGCTCTATTTGTAATCATTCAGACTACTTTTTTTAATCCTCTGCAAGTAGGGATTACCTGTACTGAGAGAATCACAATTCTCAGCAAGGATAAGAAATAAATGAGAGAAAATGGCCTCAAACACATCAGTTGCAGCTGGATTGCTTCCAGAAATTGAACATCTGATGTGATATAGCAATGGGGGAGATTGTCTTGTTTTGGGATTTTTTTTAAAATTTCATATATGGACACTTTTAATTAGCAAAACAAATATAGGAAATTATCTATATGATCATAGGAAAAAAAAAAGGCAAGTGTCCTCTCAATATATAAAAAGACAAACTGTTGTCATGAATTGTAAGTGATTAAAGTAATTCTTAAAAAGCCTCTGGAATTCCACATTAGGAATAAAACTAGAGAGAGCTTGTATTATTTTGATTTTAGAAAACAGGCCAGGTGGCTGGGCTCAGATTTAAGGCAATACCTATCTATCACAAAGTTTGTCTACTATTGGTCCTTTTAAAACTTTGGTCATGGATTGTAAAAGGTTTCTTTAAAAAAATCTATTCCCCAATTAATTAGATATTGTAAGATAGATGAGATTGATTAACAGGAGGAAAAAAATGAGAGTGATTTTGATTGCAATTTTATATACAGTAGCAATTAAGAATTACCATGCATGGGACCTGAAGCAAATCTTTACAAAGTTTCTGTTTAAAGCAAGCATGATTCTGTTTTATGTCAGCTGTTGTAGAAATTGTGACTGAACCGAGCAATGATGCAGAACACAAACTTGCTGGTCCAGTGTCAAAATGTAAATGTACAGTCCATCATTATTACTAATCAGCTGTTTAGGCATGGAGAATGATAAATAGGCTTTCCTGTTTGCTCATTTTAAAATCCATTCTGTAAGTGTAGGTGTCTGTCTACAGCAGGAGTCTTCAACCTTGGCCCTTTTATGACTTGTGGACTTCAACTCCCAGAATTCTTCAGCCAGCATGCCTGGCTGAGAAATTCTGGGAATTGAAGTCCACAAGTCATAAAAGGGCCAAGTTTGAAGACCCCTATCTACAGCAATGGCTGGTGAACCATGCGTACACATTCATATGCATACAGTATCTCTTATCTAATTAGGAATCTAGTTAGGGATATACACATGGCCCAAAGTTGGTTTAGGCTGGTTGATCCAGTGTAAATGCATTTGTAATGCTCATTGAAGAGAGAATTGGAACTGACCTCCAGGAAGCTCAGTGTAAATGAAGCACATTAAATTTTCTTCAAACAGTATGAAAGAAGAGGTAGGGAAAATTCAAGAAACATATGCATATAGTTATATGCATGTGGATGCCGCTTCCGGAAGTCCATTCTGGGCCTGGGCAACAAAAAAAAATTAGCTACCGGTTCTGCTGAAGTTGTGTGAACTGGCTGAATCCCACCACTGCGTGTATATATATATATGTGTGTGTGTGTGTGTGTGTGTGTTTTGGAAATGGAGAAGAAAAGCTCCATTTGGTAAGAAACAATACTTTCTTATTTGATTTCTTAAAAACATTAGAATGTAAGCATTTTCACCTGACAATTTAGATATTATTCTCTGAATTAAACATACCTCACCCTTTCCTCCTCTCTTGTGTGACAATTATTAAGGAGAATAAGTCCCCAGATTTGTTTACAGTTTATTCTTTGAAAGAACTAGCTAACACTCCTGTATTTAATGTGGATCAAATAGATAGCTGGACTGCATGTGACCCAACCATCTCTGTCAGGTTTTTTTCAAACTGTGTTTATAGAACCCTGGGGTTTCATGAGAGGCCAAGAGCAAGAAAAAGGTCCACTTAAACACAGCCAGGGTTGTCTGCAGCAATTTTCCATAGTACAGGGGAAAGGGATGGGGTTGTTTGGCTGACATTCAAAAACTCCAACCCCGTTGGGGAGGGATATTTGTATTTATGATGAGTCGTTGCTTTGCTTAATTTTAATTGGGTTCTGATTTTTTTTTTCCAACTGAAGGTTCCAAGTCCTGAAGAAGTTTGAAAACCCCTGGGGTAAGAGACAGAGCTGGAACTATAATAGCAAGACTTAGGAGAAGATAACAAAGATCAACTTGCTCCTTCTTTCACACCTTTATCAGTTCTCTTTAAAAGGTCTCAACCTTCTGAGCTACCCTGTGTTGAATCCTTTCTTTTCTTTTCTTTTTTTCCAGTATCTGACACATCTGAAATTCCTTCTGATTTGAAATAGGTTCCCTCAATCTGCCTCAACTTCAGTTTGACAATACAGTACAGGAAACTTCTTTCCAAATGTGTGTACACATACAGACTGAAATCAGACAAGAAGAATACATATTACCCCTTTCCCCAGCCCTCCCCTTTGCTAAGTCATTCTCTTCACCGAAATCCAGCTTCATTTATGGAGGTAAGCATCCAACCACAGCGCTCCAGATTTCTTTAGGGATCTACAGAGTAAGAAGAGAGGGGTGAGATTCCAATAGTATAACAGAAGTTTGATTGTGTAAGCCACTTTCTCCCACTTGAATTTATAGCAAACACTTGTAACAAATACAGAGCATCCCCAGAGCTGGATCCACATATCCAGATTAAGCATTACTCTAACCTGCATTTCTGTAAGTGGAACCCATATAAAGATAGCATATAAAGCATATAAAGATGGCTGGCTGGCTTTATGAACTTGTGCTGGCATCTCTATACTCACCAAAAGATAAATAGACTGACAATCCCTATTTAGTCTCTTACCCAACGATGTCTCCAAATGCTCTCAGAAGAGGTTTTTCTTCATAAGGAACTTCATACTTGGCACACAGGGACTTTACCAATGGTGCTATCTTGTGGTAGTTGTGGCGTGGCATTGTAGGAAACAAGCTCAAATAAAACAGAAGAAGAAGGCATGAAGAAAGCTCAGAAGCAGCAGTTCTGCAGGACATGCCATGCACTAGCTTTCACTTATGGAAATAAATAGAACCTAGTCAGTTCAACAGTCAGATGAGACAGCTGAATCCAGAAGTGATATGATGGACTGTATTACTTCAGCATCTAAGATACAAGTACATCACTTTGAGGCACTACGGTGAGCTTGGGTGAAGTCCAACATCTTTTGCATTCTCTCTCTCTCTTTGTCTCCATATATCCAGATCATCTTATATACTTGTATTATTTATATGTACTTTAAACTAAAACTGTGAGGAAAGATTTCATAATCTAGTTATTTTTAAAAAAAATTCCAGAAGACAGCAATAGTTTAAAGCTTTGGAAAGATGGGTTTTAAAACTCCATGTTGTTTGAGGGCTGGTTAGACTTTCCATTTCTAAATAGATGGAATATTTGGATGTTTTATATGGCAGACCACTGGAATGGTGTACAATAGCTTTATGTACATTGCATTTTTTTATTTATTAAGCTACCCATCTCTGCAAAGTGACTCTGGGTGGCATATACATTTAATAATAATTATTAATTACATTAATATATATTATTACATTAATATATAATTATTACATATGCTCATACGATATAAATTTAATAAATATTAAATAATAATAAATATGTGTGTACTGTATTGAAATTCTATGGTGGTTGCTGCTAGCCAATATTTTTTTTCTTCCAATTTCTCCAAGGTGACAATTACATCTTGCGTATGTATTTTCACTGCCAACGTTCCTTCAGATCCAAACATTGTATACTTACTGGTGCTCTATTTGAAAGTTCAAATGTCCACTGAACCAGTCATTGAAAAAAGACTGCTCAATATTGCAGGTAGCTGCCAACTGTGAAAGAAAAGCAATTGTGAATCCCAACAAACCTGAATTTGAAAAGAAATTAAGTTCAAATTCATTAGTTTATTCTTTTTGGTAAAGTCTGCCATTCCAGTACTGTGCGCATGCTGCCATTGATTACTCTGATTGCAGACTAAAATAGTAATCTTTTGAATTCTTCAAAATCGCGAGGTAGTGCAAAAGGCAGGAAATTAAGAACAGAGCAGTGGCAAGCACTTTGGTGTAAATCTGAATTACAGTCAGCTTCATGTTTTTAGAAAAATAGGTCAACCATTGTTCCTTTGTCTCAAGATGCCAGACTAAATTGATATTTTCAATATCAAATGGTGACTAAGGATTTAGCTAAATTAAAACCTTGCTAAATTAAATCCTTAACCCAGTATGGTCTGTTTTGCAAGAAGTGTGGAGCATGGAGGAACATTTTCTTAGTTTCATCAAACTGAGATAAAGTCAGCATGACACGTTTCCATACTCTACCAGAGTATCCCAAGCATGGTTGCTAAGAAACTCCCTTGGATTCGGTGACACTTATTCCTAGATAGGGATGAGATTTCAGTAAACAACGTTTACCTGGGAGCTGAGCCAGTCTCTGTGCTTCTCATTGTCAATTTCCATTGGAATATGATTCATCTGAGTAACCCAAACAAACCAATGGCTTTCCATAAACCTAAAGAGCAAGAAAGAGAGAGAAGATTGAGCTCAAGAGCCTGAAAGCTATAATCTAGAGAACCTATGGACAACAAAAGGGTCAAAGATTAGGTTTATGTCCAGTAATTTAATAACAGGCCAAAATTCTTGTCTGAACAATTTTGAACTTGCCACATTTTGTAGGCATACAGTTGTTCTCTAATGTGTTATTTGCCTTTATTTTATTTATTTATATGTAAAATTTCTAAGTCTCCCACCTTCAAAATTACTCTGGGTGGCTTCACAAGATCAAAAGAAAAGAAAAGAGTCAAGCATAGATATAGCTATATAGACACACACATACACACACATTATATAATAGCACAGCAATCATCTGAGGGAACAATACATTACAATATATATTTACATCATCCCCCAATTAAACCTCAGCCCCTCCCCTGAAACATCTAACTCAAGTCCTGGAAGGAAAAACAGGTTTTTAGAATCCAATTAACGTGGGAAAGGATTATTTGTGGGAAACTATTTCCATCCATCTGTTCAGCAGCATTGATTAATGTCATCTTGCAGGATTTTTCTGCTCTATGGCCTAGCTTTTGGAATACCTTACCTGTCAAGATATGGTTGAACTCAACTCTGCCAGGCTTCTGGAAAATGTTGAAGTCATGAATGTGTTTTGGAGGCCAGGAGGTAAGTCGAAGCCAGCGGAGTTGTGGTTCCCGAGTTCATTGTAGATTGGCTTTTAGCTCTGCTGTCTTTCTAGATTATTTATTAATTAAATGTATATGCCACTTATCTCACTCTGCAAAGTGACTCTCAATATTAATACTGTTTTGATGTTATTGTGGATCTAGTTTTAATACATTGTTGGCTGTCTAGAGTTGCTATAAGATGAGCAGCCACACAAATCAAATCAATCGATCAATGATAAATAAGTAAATATTAGAACAATTGATAAAATCAAGAAAAGTCCTAGGAGGGAAAATGCTAGTGCAGATAATGCCTATCTATAGCAGAAACAAGCATAGGTAGTCCTCATTGAACAACCACTCATTCAACAACCAAAGTTATGACAACACTGAACAAGGGAACTGAAAACAAGTCCTTATAGTTGCTGCCATTGCAGCATCTCCACAGTCACACCATCATACATAATTCAGGTGCTTGGCAATTGGCTCATAATTGCAACATTGCAGCATCCTTGCCATTTACAATCTTTATTGCCAGCTTCCAACAAGCAAAGTCAAAGAGGAAGCTGACAGGAGATTTGCAAATGGCAACCACGTATTCATGAGATGCTGCAGCCACACAGGATTCACCTAACAATGTCAACTGGGACTGCTACAACTGCCATCGTAAGTCAGAAAAGTCACATGAAGTCAAACTTTACAACCCCATTGCTTAGCAACAGAGTTCCCTGTCCCAATTAGCATCATTAAGCAAAGACTAACTGTATCAGTCAGTCACAATGTTGTCTTCTTGCGCACAAACATTGGGCAGATTTGTATGGAAATCGATGAGTCTACAACTAATTTGGTCTTGAACTTCTCAGAGTGTTACAAACCACCAGAAATATCTTTTAAATGTTTTAGTAGCTAACCCTACCTGACAAAGGTGAGGAGAAGCAAGGACCCAAGTAATCCATAAAATGGGATGTAGGTGATAAAGTAGCGTACATAGTAGCTGAAAGCCCATGCCAAGTCCTAGGAGACAAGGAAAATGTTATACGTGGCAAATGCTATATGTCTTTTATCTCTAGGCCAGCAATTATTTTTTTTCCAAAGAATAAGCATAGAAACTTTGCTTTACCCCCTCAGCTGAGATCTTCTTCAGATGAAATTTCACTTCATGCAGTGAAATGAAAGCAATAAAGGGCATGTGTGATTTTTCACTTACCACCCAGAACTTGTGTTTGAACATTGTTGTGAAGATTTGCATTTGGAAATAGACTGGAATAAGGAGAGGTGGGAAAACTGTGAACAAAACAAAATGCATTATGGGAAGTTGGCAACACAAAGCATAGAATGGTGAAATATCTCTCTCTCTCTCTCTCTCTCTCTCTCTCTCTCTCTCTCTCTCTCTCTCTCTCTTGTGTCCACCAAATATGTATTCAAAAAGACACTGGGATAAGATAAAGTTAATAAGGAAAATGTCGGGTGGCTGAGTGAATTGTGAGGGTGCTCATTAGGCGTTTCACTGTACTTTGCAAAAGGCTTCAATTTTAAAATGTTTACAACTTAAAATACTGTTTCCAGTTCCAAATGCTCCATCCAAATCAGAAACAGCTTCCTGACTTTACAGGAAATGTTTCAATGCTGTTCCAATTATTCTGGAAGTGCTCCAAAGTTGGGCATCTTTCAACATTTGACTACGGTCAGAACACACTCTTCCATTGTGACTGTGAAACATTTTAAATTCAAGATGCATTGCCCAACGCCCAGCAGCAATTTGTGCTTGTCATGATGGCCATTTTGTAATCTTGAAGTTAGCCAATTCCCAGGACTGGGGATTCTCTGGCACTTTCAAATATGTTCCTTCCCAGAAAGTTTAGAAAGAGATAGGGCTTTTAACTTACAAACCAGTTTTAACATCTAGGGGAAAACATCAGTGAATTGATTGTAATAACTGTGTTTTGGACAGCTTGTGGAAAAATAAGCAGGAAATAAACATCAGCTCTGCCTTCTCTATAAAGAACTATACTTACCTAAAAAGAAGTATTCATGCTGATGATTATAAGGGAAGTATTTCAGCTTCTTCTTTCCATACTGAAGGAAAAGACAAAAGCTTTTCAGTGCTGACTATTCAAGACAATAAAACCCCATTTGGTACTGTACCACTGAACTTGTTAGTTGAACAACAGAAAAAACAAGAGTTCAATGACATTGGGGAGATTAAATATATTAATTTTGATACAGACATAATTTTTGTAACTGTTGACAATACTTATTTTAAATTGTAGGAATTGTAATCTTAAAACATTCATATTTCTAAATCTAAATACTAGAAATTTAGCTTTGTGCTATTTCAGATGACTTTCAGAGGTTTCAATATTTTTCATTGTATTGCTTGATAGAACTGAAGTTTAGTGGCTACCATAATACAGAGGGGATAGTTTTACAAATACAGATTCAGCAACCACAGGCTCAGGAACAGCATTGAATGAGTGGTACTTATAACTGGTCCTCAAAGTCCTGTTTGTCACATGACTGCAGTCAGATTGCTTAGCAACTGACTTGAATTTCTAACTGTTGCAACATCCCATGCCAGATTCCCAGAAGTAAAATCAATGGGGAAGCCAACATGAAATCAGAACTCACAATCATGTGAGATACTTGCTTAACTACGGTCCTTGCTTAATGATGGTAACTGGGGACAGACAGATCTGCCATCACTAAGTGGCACAGTCACATGATGTCTTTTACAATTGCATTGCTTAGCAACAGAAATTCTGGTCCCAATTACCATTGTTAAGTGAGGATTACTTAACTAACTCTAGGTAGTTTACAATGGCTAAAAACAATTAAAAACAAAGAGTAGTACAAAAACAGCATAATCGAAAAGGATAAAAATAGCAAAAAAAACCCCCAAAGGAAAACAGAAAGGATGGTAGTTGTCTTTGTCAAAGGCCGCGGCAAAGAATCTTTAGGGTCTTTAGGGCCTTTAGAAATTCCAGTTGGGGGGGGGCATTTGAATCTTGGGAGAAACCTTGCCCACAGGATAGGTGCTGCTACAGAGAAGGTTCTCATCTGGAGTCCTGATAGATGGCATTTGCTTCATTGAAGAAACCTGGAGCATGCCAACCCTGCCAGATTGAACTGACTGGGTAGATGTTATGGGAGACTGGTGATCCCTCAAGCAACCAGGCCCTTTGCCATGTAAGCTTTATAAGTAAATAATTTTGAAGAGAATATATAGACCAGGGATCTCCAAACTTGGCAACTTGAAGACTTGTGGACTTCAACTCCCGGAATTCCTCAGCCAGCAAGGCTGGCTGAGGAATTCTGGGAACTGAAGTCCACAAGTCTTCAAGTTGCCAAGTTTGGAGATCCCTGATATAGCCTGTGGCAAAACATTTGACAGAAGGCAAGCTGGTGAAATGTTCTTCACCATCTTGAAATGGAGAGCTAACTTTTTTGAAAGAATGATAAACAGCATTCTTAGAGAACAGAAGAGAAAAGCTGCATATAACCAAGGTCACATTTTTATTTTGATATTTATGTCTAAGTCTGGTAAATCTGTTCCATATAACAAAGCAAAGGGACAAATTGGAAAGAATAGTAGGTTTTTTGATTACACAGAGAGAAGGAAATATTCATATTCAGAGAAACTAAATCACTACATCTGCGTTTCTTCACCACAGATTGGGCATTCTTGTATATCAGGAATTAGTTTTTTCCATTATAAGAAAACAAGGCTAACACATTATTATCAGATATGAGCAAAGCAGGAATGACCTTTCTTGGGGCTTTTCTTTGACCTGGAGTTGACCTCATTGGTCTTCACACTCAAAGCCACACCTCGTAGGTCATGAACTCCACCTCATGAAGCTTTGAGAAGGGGCTGATCTGTCTAGGCTGGCTGCTTCACTTCTCAGCAAATGGCAAAGTGAAGCTATCAAAGCAGAGGCATGGCTGCCCCACTCCAAATAAGTCAAAATGCCAAGCTACTTTATGAACCTGCTTTAATTGGATGATTTGATCAAAGCATTTTTATTGAAGCATCCCACCGAAGCAAGCAGATAATTTTGAAGAAGGAATTAAAAAAAACATTATGAAAAAATAGACAACAAATGAATCCTGAGTGTAATGGGATGGTGGGTGATATTGGGGAATGAGAGGAAGAAAGACTGCCTAGGAAACAATTAAGCAAGGTTGGCTAACTGGTTCACCAATTTGTTCTTATTGCCCTTTGGGGTTCAATTCATTACATCAATATCACATTTTGTGGAATGTATTTACCTAGTTACAATATAAAAATATTTTAGATTGTATTGCAGCATTTGCATAATAAGCACTGGAATATATTGCACTTTTGAAGTTGCTGTAGCAACCATGGCTCAGGTTTCTAACTGGAATCAGTTATGACAGAAAGCTCTCTGCTTTTCCTAGCATTTTTGTTCTGGAGAAGAGCAAAGTGTCCCTCAAGGACACTGCCTATCACAGGGGCACATTCTTCTAGCATTGTCCCTAGGAAATATGCCATTCTATACCACCACATGACGTTGTTACTTTTCCTTGCTGATCTATACAAGGCAAAACTCATCTAGATTTTATAAATCATCTCTAGATGAATCTGGAAAGGGAATTTTCTTAGAAAAAGTGTAAACAGAAGGTAGATCTAACTGGGTCTTCTGGTATATTGCAGTAAATGGACAAGGTTCTTTGGTTTTCAGTTTGATTCTTAGTGGGAAACCAGACTGGGGAAAGAATATGAAGAGGTTTTAGTTTGGGATTTGGAATTTCTGGACTCTGAACTCTTTAATTCTAGGCTACATATTTTGCACCAAGCAATGGATAATGGAATTTGGGTTTCCAAAAAGCAGCAGAATAAATTTTGCATCTCTGATTTCTACTATGCCATGTCATTAGTTATCAAACCATCCCAAAGTACACTTTTGATCCAGGAAAGGTGGTTATGGAGATATCATCCTGCCAAGTTTTTATTTTAAACATAGTTTAGTAATAGATATGGGGCAACATGGTACTATATATTAATATTTATAAATGAAGTGAAATATATCCATGTGACAAACTTCAGTGCTTCTTTCTAAATATATTACTCAAAGTGTAAAGATTGTCAGTGTTTGCAGAAATGACACTATTTTTCTATAGAATTTGGGAAGCAATTTTACTTTAAAAAGTAAAACAAACTGTAACAGAAAACAAGTAAACAAATGAATACATGCTAGTTTTGCTACAATCCCTGTCACAGATTGTCCTTAGCACAAAGTGAAAAGCAGCTAGTTGGTGATATACAATATTGGACTAAAGATGGGAAGGCCTGGAAAAAAACTGGGGAAACTGGGAAAAGCCGTTTGGAAAAAAATGGAAAAAACCCTGTTTCCCCCCCATTTTTTCAGTTTTTTTCCAGATCTTTCCCCTACCCACCTGCTTTTCTAATCTATCACTTGAATCAATCACTTCACTATGCCTATTGAGGTAGTCAGTTCTCTAAATCAGTTCTCTATTCAGCTAGTAGTCCTAGTAATATGATTATGAAAAAGAATGATGCATTGCATCATGGCTATGAGATCTGCCAGCAAAGGGAATTGATAAAAAACCCTCTCCCATTAGAGTGATGCAGATAGAGCAAGGGATAAGGAATAAGAGGACTTGATACCAATATTGATATTAGATACTGGCTAATAGAAGTATTTGCCTCAAGAACTAGATTTTCCTGGGTCTCTATTACCTTTGGAATTTTCTTTGGATCTGAGGTGCTTGAATTGACATCTTTTCATCTTACCTCCACAGGTTGGGTATCTCCCAAGACAAAGAGATGCAGCATGTTCACATCTGGGTCTTTCTTAAAGATATTTGGCTTTGCATGGTGCTGAAAGTGCCGGTGATTCCACCAATTTGCTGAAGCACCCTGTGGAAACATATGGAGAATCCATTTTTATTGCTATCAAGGTGATCATTTGAACACCCCCAAAGAGGGGGATTAAAAATGTAATGTCTCCCCTTGATAACTTCATAGACAATCTTTTATTTATGATTTTCTTTGCAACGACATAGTAGTTCTCCATTGCTTCTGAGATTCTTTTGATTTCTTAGTCTACAGCCATACAGTTTGCTGGTTATCTCTCATCCAATACAAATCTGAACCCACCTAGCCTTTTTGAGATTAGCCAAGGTCAGTCAGTGCTGCCTTTTAGCTGGATAACCCTTTCATAACAGGTAATAGTTTATATTCAAGAGGATAAATATTTGTGAAATCACCTGAAAGACATATAGAGTCCCTTATAACTCTTTCCTCAACGTATCTTCTGCAACCAACTAATACTTGGCAAGGCATCAAATAAATATAAATATAACATAAATATAAAAATGTTTGGAGTTCTGCCAAATAAGGAATTCTCCCTCCTTTGATATGAATTGCCAGACAAGCATGGCATGCAATGGCACAATATGGAATGTATACAGTACTGTAGATCACTTAATAGAATTAGGAGACAATTTTCTGGTTGTTATTTAAGAATTGCAACATAAATATTATTTGCTAAAATTGCAAATTTAGATTAAGACATCACTTGTCCTTTAGAAATGGCCTGTTAGCCATAAATCCTCCAGAATGTTCTTTACACAATAATAAAGCAATAATAACTAATAATCGAATTACATATGCAAAAATATGGGAGGACATGGGATCAGGTAACACCCAGCTATGAACATGAACAGAAGAAATGTTGACATCTGTGTGTCACATTTCTATCTATGTTACAGTTAATTATTATTTTATGTCTTTGCAAGGAAGAATTCAATAGATTCACCTAATGTTTGGAGATGTGCTCAAAATACAACATTGGATCATATGATGTGCTCTTCTATTACAGTGGCTCCCTTTTACATAGAAGTTGTTTCATGTATTACTTTTGTTCCAGAAGGGTCATTGTTTTTGTGGATCCCCATGTTCTTTTCAATTCTATACCAGTGGCTTGGAAACAGAAGGACAATGGAAATAGATACTGCATGCTTTTATGATTGCAAAATATAATACCCCACGGTTGGAAGGGCACCCATTCTTCATCAATTATACAATGGCTTAAAAATGTATTCTTTTTCTGCTATTTAAAAAATTGGATTGCCTACAATAGTTTATGAAGTTTTATTTCTCATTTTGTAATGCTTGTTTACCAAATGATATGCCTTTGTATATATAACTTCCTCATATATGTATTGTTATTTTCAAAGAATTATGAAAAGCAGAAATTGTTGGATTTCATGCATTATTTTGGGGGATATGTATTAACTATATTGGTATTAAAATACAAAATAAACAACTTCCTTACATTAAAAGTGAGGGTCTGAATTCAGCACATTGTTGCTACTTAACTGCAAATTGTGTTCCTTCCAATTAGTTATACATATCCTATATTTCTTGCAGAAGATTTAACCTGCTGGAATAACTATTTAACCTGACCCAAGAATATCCATAGAGAATAGTTAAAAGACCAATTGTCTTGACAGAGCTGTTCTCTGTGAATTGAGCCAATTTTCTTTAAAGCCATCCAAGATAGTAGCCATTACATTTTGTGATGGCAAATCCTACAAGATATATAGTCCTGTTTAGTGACTGACTTGTTTATGCAAATGAACACTAAACAAGTTGCCAATTCCAATTGTGATTGCTAAATGACAACTACCTGTATGTGTTATACGAAGATTTTTTAAATAAAGATATTCTAAATGTTCTTCTAATCAGCTTATTTAGATGACTTCTGTTTATTACAGACTAGTTTTAAATACTGGAAAAACCAAAGAGATCATTGTTGATTTCAGAAAAAGCAGGCACAGCCACACTTCTCTGTGCATTAATGATTCACCTGTGGAGAGGGTTACCAGCATCAAATTCCTGAGTGTGCAGCTAACAAGTAGGCTGGCCTGGTCGCTCAACAGTGAGACACTAGTGAAGTGGACATAGCAGTGCCTGCATTTTCTGCGTTGCATGAGAAAAGCACATCTTCCTTCTCCTATCCTTACCACTTTCTATAGGGAGACGATCGAGAGCATCCTGTCATACAGTATCACAGTCTGATTTGGAAGCATCACTGCTTCAGACAGGAAGGCAGTGCAGAGAGTGGTGAGGATGGCCGAAAAGATCATTGGCGGTTCCCTCCCTTCCATCCAGGACATAGCACAGAAGCGTTGCTTGAGCAGGGCCTGTAAGATTATCTGGGACACTATACATCCTCTTCACGACCTGTTTTCCTTGTTAACTTCTGGGAGGAGGCTTCGTGGTATCCGAAGCAGAACATCCAGATTCAGCCATAATTTCATTCCATACAGCATTAAACTTGTGAACTCTCAAGCTTCCTCCTTCCGTTATATATTCAAGATGGACAGCAGGGCTTTTTTTGTCATAGAACACCCAGAACGGAGTTCCGGCACCTTTTTTGGATGGAACCTTGTAGGGTAGGCAAGGCAGGTTGTATGATGTGTGTGAGTTCCGGCACCTTTTTTTTTTTTTTTTTTTTTTACAAAAAAAGCACTGATGGACAGTGTTTAATATTTGTTATGTATATGTTGGGGTGTGGGTCTATACATATGTTGTATATAGTATGTTTAGGGGTGTGTCATGTATGTGTTCACCTTGAGAGCGGGAAACTAAATTTCATTTTTGATGTGTGCCGTTGTGCCCGCAGTAAAAAAATGACAATAATGGTTATCTTATTTTGCCTTGCCTTGCCTTGCCTTGCCTTATTCATTTTCTCCATTCCATGTATTAACATAGACTCATAGAGCTGGAAGTAGCCATAAATGTCATCTAATCTAGCCCATGCTCAGTGCAGGATCTTTAAGAATATCTCTGAGAGAGGAGCATGCAGATTCTGAAGGAAGGCCTCTAGTAAAGAAGAACCACATGTTGTAGCAATCTGTTCTATGTGTTCTTTAGTACAATCAGGAAGTCGTTCTGATATCAATCTTAAACTTCTTACTTGTAACTACAACTCCTAGCATCTCTCATTATTGGCCATGTTCCCTGTTTTGTTGTGCTTTCAGGAGCTTATTGACCATTACTATAATTAACTTACCCTCAAGTAGATCTTTCAATTTTGGTTTTTGGATTACAAATTCTTCCCATGCAAATGTATATTAAGTTGGATCTAGCTAAAATGCTGATGTAATTATTGCAAAGAAAGGTATGCTTCTTCTTCTTTAATACTGTTTAGGATCTATGAATGCTGTTTACCAGCATACCATTCTTTACATAAACTAGTCTAAAACGGATTGCTTATTCCTTACTCTGAAGCAAATCAGGTAGGCTTGGTGCTAGAATTTAAGAGTAAAATATAACCAACTGGTTCCCCTAAATTTTCCTGAATTGGGAAGCCCATTTACTCTGAATATGTCCTATCATGATGATGTTTAAGGCCCAGAGGTTGTTTCAAAAAAGAGTGGGCAACATAGCCTCATTATATCTTGCTGCAGTTATTCTACTGTAATTTGACAGGCATAGGCCTTACCTTCAAGTGACCAATCACAAACTTATGAACTATATGGTTCCATACAGACTTCTGAAATACAGAGAGATGTCCAAAGTCATGCTGCAACCACCCAGCCTGGGCCTGGGAAGAAAAGAAAAGGATTAAGGAGTACAAAGATACCTTTAAGATGGCACGGTGGGCATCTCGCCATCCATCAGCTGCACATCTAGTCTTTAATGCTTTTCTTGCAGCTCTCAGCTCACCTAAATTTGAACTACAAAAATTAGAGCTTAGTAAACCTACAAAACTACAAAGTCCATTCCTTCCTTAAAAACAGGAGAGGAGAATTCTGCCCTTGATCCATACAGTAACATCATATATAACTGATCTACGTCTTATTTTCCATTTTAATTAATGGGACAACTAACTAAATTAAAGTTGTCCACTCTTAGTTTATACAAAAACACATGTATTTATATATGTTTTCTTCTCAGAGTTCTGTATGCTTTTGCTATCAGGGCAGTGGAAACAAAATGAATTCAAATGTCACATTGTCTGATCATAAGCCAAAAAAATGGGTCTCCAAAGTTACTTTTAGTAGACCTAAAGCAGCCATTGTCAACAGTAAGCAATATTCAGTACTGCTTCTCCAAATATTGCATTTGTGTTCAAAGGAAAAAAAAATCTGAAGACAGGTAGTCCTGGATCTGTGACAATTGGGACCTGAATTTCCACTGTTATGCAAGGCAGTTGTTCAGTAAGCCTAATTTTTACAACCTTTTTTGTCACCGTTGTTAATCAAATAACTGTAGTTGTTGAGCGAACCACAAAGTCATTAAGCAAATCTGATTTCTCCCATTGACTTTGCTCGTTGGAAGCCAGTTGGGAAGATCACAACATGGTGATCACATGACCCCCCCCCCCGGGATGCTGCAACCACAGTAAATAGATGCTAGTTGCCAAGCACCTGAGTTTTGATCAAGTGACTATGGAGTTGTTGAGATGGTCATAAGTCACTTTATAAAAATACCAATGTAATTTTGAACAGTTGTTGAATGAGTGACTGTAAGTCGAGGGCTACCTGTAGATATTTTTCCATTTAAATATTTTTCCCCAATATTTGATCCTGCTGCCGAAATCTCTGCACTCAAAGTGACTATCCAATGCCTGACCATCTTGTTACTGCCTCTTTCCCTACCCTGGAGCAGATCTGCATCTCCTCCAGTTTCTCTGCTTTTGCCCAGACTCTCTTGCTTCCTGGCCTCTAGTTCTTAAAATGAGATGTTAAATAGTGCAAGTGGCTTTCTATACAACACTTGCAAGCTGATCTTCAATCATTAATACTCAATTGTGTGGAACACGGGATATTGGGTTGTCATTACTCTAGGCCTGGGCAGTGCCGAAACCTAGTAGGATTTTCTTTTACTTGGCAAAAACCAATTAAAAAGTGGTGTGTGTATATGTGTGTGAGGGATAAATTTAATCAGTTTGCAAGACAAAAGCAGACAGGTTTGCAACTATTTGGGGTGAGAGCAAAAAAAAAAAAAAGACTGACAACACATCACCTTTCTAATAATGACTTCCTACTTTTAGTTTCTTGAATTATAATTTATTTCACTTTCCCCTCCAAAAAGCACAGTTGCCTGGAAGTTTAAATAACTTGTGCATTTATTTAAAGAGTTCAGTGACAAATGAACATTTTGTATTTAGCAAACAAAATCTCACCTGAGAGACTGTAAGGATGATGGAAAGTACAAAGGTTATACTCCAACTCGTCCCACAATATGATACCATTAACCAAGCCAAAATTTCCATCACAATGATGTGACCCAAATAAAGGAAGAAAAATACAGGATCGCTTTTGAATAGCTTCATGTCCTCAGCTGTCTTTCTCAGAGCACGGAAATCTTCTATCAGCTGAGGCTGAAAATAAGGAAAAAACAAGATATTGGAAAAAAAA